AAACCAGACTAAAAAGTCTATTTATTTTAGTTGCTCCAAGACTTGCTTTTGAGGTAACACATTTTGAAGAATGTTATGTTACAGCCTTGTTGTGCGCACCTATATTTCTTAAGGAGAAAACTCCCCACTTTATTTTCAGAGACTGAAATATGTTTCTAGGCCTTTTGTTGCTTATTGAGGTATACTGAACAACTACATTTTTCTTGTTAGTGACTTTACTCCCATATTTTAAAGTTAGCCTTTCTATTTTAGGATTGTTTATCAAAAAAAAATCTATTCTATTTGTAGTTTTGTGTTTAGTAATAGGTCAAAGCCTGGGGGGTTTCACACTTGAATGAATTACATCCTGGGGAATCCTGTGTACTGAGAAAGCCAGATTAATTGACATAATCAAACATGTCTCAGTAAAACCGGGATCTAAAACTACGGTGATGTCATATCCCATCACAACACCCTCTTAAAATGCTGGAATGTTCAATCTGGCAGTACAAGTGTGGTAAAGACTACATACGTGAGATCTTTAGTCCTTACCATTATGATATATGTGGTTTTCAACTCTGTCAGCTTGGAAGCCGATCTAATGTTTGTAAGGTCAATTTATTGCTTTTCTAAGAAAGTAAATAACTTCAACTTTGTAGCTGAATATATCCCGACAAAACAATGTGGGTTTATAGATTCATATGTTTTAACACTGGAGCCATCGCTGATTTGAACTTCTGAATCTCAAGGCTCATCAAATTTTACCCAGCGGCTTCTGGATCAAACTGAGAACATACAGCTGACCTAGATTTAGAGACTTTAAATGGTGATCACTTCTGCTCCCTCTTTAGTTGTTTCAATCTTTTATTTGCTTCAAAGTAGGATTTTTTTTTTCTATTCTGAATTCATCTTTTATCAGGTTCCAGTCTTGCTAATTTACTACCTCTACTTATTTAAAAAATTACCTTAACTTCACATTCTTTTTTCCATCATGAAGGTGTCTAAAGGCACCTCTAAACTTTTCTGTTTTTCACAAGCTAAACTGCTTTAGTCTTATGTTAGAAAAGTATTCCAAACTGTAATGTGCTTGTAGCTCTTTTCAGAAACCTTTCAAATTTGTCAGCAGCCTTCTTACAGAATGATTATTTAAACATGCTGAACCATAACATGTTCCAGGATTGGGCACACTAAAATGATAATAACAGCTTCTCACGACTACTACTATGATTAGTTTGTCTTAATATTCCACAAGGAGCCTGTCACACCAAAAAGTACATTCAGTAATCCTTCAATCCATATCTGCACATTGGCTTCTCTGTATGAATACTCTTGAGTAGCTAGCTGCACGATCTTGCATTCAGTTGTATAAATTGTGTGTTATTAAAGTGAGCTACTCTATCAAATTGACCTATGTTTATCTCTTGCTGAATACAAATACACAAAGTTTTTCAAGTATCCCCGTTTTGGGGACAAAAAAAAGTAAACTACGCTTATGATCCACATCAGGATCATCTCTTTCCAGTAACCTTAAAGCATTTTTGACGCCCAGGCTATTCCTGCCGAACATCTCTCAAGCTCATAAATACAAGTGGCTTACTTTCAAATATGCCTAAATACTGTTTGGACCAGAGAAAGAGTAGCTATACAGCCTGCTGGTTATGAGGAGAAATAGATATTGTTATTAACATATTTTGGTGAAAACTTTTCGTTTCAACATACTAGTGTTTTCCATCTGTAAAGAATATGCTTTAATTAGCCTCTAATACTACTGAAAGTAAATTATACAGCTCAGCTTTGTACACATATGGTATCCGCATACCAGCTATCATGTTTTGAACGGTGAGCAATATTTTACAATGTTGTTATCCAGGTAGATGAGGCATATATAAATGAACAGCATTAATATTTGAGACAGATTCATACCATGGTGACACTATATGGATTTCATTTTTAAAATGGATGTTCAAACAAGTCTCACCTTTCAATTTACTGTATCTACCAGAAGTATCAAGAGATACCATAAAGATTGGACATAGCCATCTGTTCAGCTTTGTATAATAGCAGGTAAGTCTACCAGTAGTGATACGGAAAGAATAAAAAGATGGTAATTAAAACAATAGTGAATTAAAACACTTAAAACAATTAGGGACTATTTTATCAAAGCCTGTGATTAAAAACTAAGTATGCTTCTATGCTTCTAATCTCATTGAAGTCAACAGTATGTGCTTGAGCGCTTTGTTGAACTGGAACTTTTCATAAATCAAGGCGAGTTGTTTGAATCTACTCAGAAGAGAGCATTTTATATATTCAACACTACCCATACGAAAATTTTCAAAAGCTTGAAAACAACATTCTATTAGGCAGAACAAAATGATGCAACAGCAAAGTTGCTACTTAAAGCACAAGCAAGTGGCGGTTTTCCCACTGGGATTTTGAGAAATTTGAACTCTGCATGTCTAAAGTATAGCCTATATTTATAATTAATAGAACTGTTCCTATTGGAGAACTAGAGAGTTCATGCTGGTAGTTTTAACTAATAGCATAAGAAAAATGCAATGAAATATATGAAATGTTAGACCAATTCACTGTTGAAGTACGTAACACCCAAAGATAAACAGCTCCTGGAGAAGCAGCCTCACTACATACTTATTTTAAGGGGAAAGATAAGGATCAACAATTCTGAATATACAAAGGAAGTACTCTACACTGATTCTGTAGAGCACCTGCACTGACAGACTGTCCTTGAGAAAATAGAGGGACTCTTTAATTTGTTTGCTATTATGTTTTCAGTTAAGGGTTTAAACAGGTTGAGTCCCTGAATTTATGTAACCACTACTAACAAAGAAAAGTTCAGGGAACAGAGGAAATAAGTTAGTGATATTCTAGTACATTCTTCAGCCATACACTTGATAGGTATCAAGAAAGAAATCCAAAGTGGATCTAAAATGTGTGGTAGGCATTATTATTTAGTGATACCTGCTGGAACAACCTTGCAGAAGAGCTAAAAAAAGAATAAGGTTATGGCAAAAATGGAAAACAGAAGTTAAGAACTGAGGTGAAAGCTACATGTGGGATATTTTTGAAACAAAAAAGACCATATACCTGGAAGTGGAACATGTGATTGCCTCTAAAGACTTCTAATAAAATACCCTATTTCTAACATGCACCCTATCCTTGCATACAAGGAATGCATAAAACCCCTGTTTCTTCTGTCCTGCATCTCCTCTACTCAATGATCTTTTAATATCTTTTTTTCTATTTGGTGTAAAAATTTGTTCTATATTTCACTCTCTTTCTATCTTCCTTTTTATGTAATGAGTTTATTATACTTCCCTCAAATTTCAGTTTCTTTTACTCTGCTTCATGTGCCTAATCTTGCTGAACCTTTGCCTTTTTCCGCATCTGCTTCCTTCTTCAGCACTTGAGCTTTCTATAGCTTTTTAATAGTTTAAATAAGACTCTGGCCTGAGATAATGATGTAGGCTGTGCAACCAGTGGAGCTGCACAAGTAGTGGGGCTGCTATCTTACACAAATTAGTGGCTATAGGAAAAAGCAAGCCAGCAGATTATAGAGGCGAGCACTGCGAGGGGGATATGCCCAGCCAGGCACATTTCACATATGCAGAGATCTGTCCCTGAACTGCTCCCAGATTTCTCCTTCCATTGGCTCTCCCAGACATGATGTGGGTGTTCAAAGGCCGCTGCCTTCTAGGCTCGCAGAGTATTCCCACTCTACAGTCTCAGACATATTTTCGTCTTCTGTCCCTCTCCAGGTATAGCCCTTCCTCACATATCTTTCATTTTATTTCATGCACAAGCCATACAGATTCCCACAAGAATTTCTCAAACAATATTTCTCAATATCAACTCAGAAATCCTTACCCTTTTCTAATGCAAGCAGCTTCTGGCTTGCATGAAATGTTTGGTTTCTTTAACAGTAACTGTAATCATCTCACTGTCCTGCTGTCACCTGTACTTGTAAACTCATTCTCTGTTCCTCTCTCTTCTCATGAATAACTTTCCTGTTTCCCTCTTACAACGTCCTTTCCCTTGTTCCTTCCCATAACCCCTTCCACTCTCCTCCCCCGCCAAACTTTCCAACTCTTTGGATTTCCCTATTACTCTGCCTTATGGCACTAGATCATCTCTCTTTTCTAAAAAGTGGAGTGGAACAGGATATATATTTCCTGTGTCCATCAGCACTGTACTTTCAAAGAAGAAGAGGCTGAAATACAGAGGTGGGGTTTTTTCCCCCCATTTCCTACGGAAAAGCATACCACCAGCCCTACAGGCAGAGCAGAGTAACTCCCACCCGTCTTTCCCCAATCCTTTCCGAGACCCAAAGTTCAGTGAATTCACCCCAGCTCTTGAAGGATAGCTGTCCTGTGCAGGCATCACCCCACCACCCCTCTTCCCGCAGGAGGCAAGGCTCTCAGGCGGGGCCCATTCTGAGCACAAACATCAATCACGAGCCCCGGCGAAGCCCTTCCCCGCGCCCCCGGCGGGGCCGTCTCCCCTTCCAGGGGCAGAC